AATAATAATTATTAGTATTATTAAAATACAAAATGATTGTATTTATTCCTGAGATGATACCTGCTAAATTAAACATGCAACATCAAGTCATTTACCAGTGTAACATACTACTATTTGAAGATTTTGAATACTGCGTGCTGTTTCAAAGGCTGTTTATTAAAAACTGTAAGCATTTAGCATGATATACTTTGCAGTAAGCTGTATATGCTAGTATTCAATTCCAGTTTTTATTCATCATCCTTTGTTGTCATGGTCAGGAGCATCATATTGAATGTCACTAGTGCTATTCCAACATTAAACGACGAGGACTCAAATATTCAAACCTCAGCACGTCTGTTTCATAAGTCTGCATTTCATAGATGTTCAGGACATGTCTGCATAAATCGGGCATTCAGCAAAGGAATAAATACTAAAGAACCGTCTACAAGAGAAGGAAATCATTGGCTTTGTTATATGCAGATGAGTTAATCTGCATTAGATGAATATTAAGTTGGAAGGGAATCGTTCAGTGCTGTTCTGACCAGCCTGCAGTGCCTCTCTCTCTCTTTCTCTCTCTCTTCTTGACCTGTCTGTGGGAGATACTGTAGACCACCCTGCAGCTGAATCACGTGTGGTTTTTCAGGGCTGTAATTATTAGGCAAACACAGGTTGCTAAGAATATTTGTCACAACCTTTCAGGATGCCCGGGGGTTTCTCATGTGTGTCACTTTGTGTTTGTGTTTGTGAGTGTGTTTGTGTCTGTGGAGTGTGTATCGGTCTGCATGTAAAGACAATCTCCGTGGCAACCAGGCGAGGAGTGTCAAAACAGTGCCTAGAGAGGATGGTTTTCACCGTGGCTCGGAGAGAAAGGCGTTAGCACAGATGCTTGCTCGGAGAAGAGCAAGAAATAAACTAGGTGAAGTGCATACAAACACACACTTGTGTTTCTGTTTAGTGTTGCACTTTAGTTTTTCTGCATTTGTTGCATTGGGGTTGAATTGAAGATCTGTTCTAGTAAAACCCATGTTTAGGGTTTGGATGAGGGGTGATCTGTTCTGCCGCCATTGTCACTTAAAATTTGTCTGTTCTAATCTGTCTGTTCTATATATACACAGTCGTGGTCAGAATTGTTGGTACCCTTGGTAAATATGATCAAAAAAGGCTGTGAAAATAAATCTGCATTGTTAATCCTATTGATCTTTTATTTTAAAAATGTACAAAAATCTAACCTTTCATTAAAAAATAAGAATTTAAAATGGGGGGGAATCTCATTATGAAATAAATGTTTTTCTCTAATACATGTTGGCCACAATTAATGGTACCCTTAGAAATTCTTATGAGTAAAATATCTCTGAAGTATATTCCCATTCATATTTATAATTTGTAGCTCACCAGGGTGATTATGAACATGAAATTATCCAGCCATTGCTTCCTGTTTCACAGGAATATAAAAATGAGGGAAAACAAAGGCCAAATTCCCTTAATCATCCACCACAATGAGTAAAACCACAGAATATAGTTCTGATGTGCAGAACAAGATTGTTGAGCTTCACGAAATAGAAAGTGGCTTTCAGAAAAGAGCTAGAGTATTGAAAACTCTCATTTCCACCATCAGGGCAATAATTAAGAATTTCCAATCAACTAAAGATGTTACAAACCTTCCTGGAAGAGGACCTGTGTCTATATTGTCCTAATGCACAGTGAGGAGGAGAGTTTGAGTGGTTAAAGGCTCTCCAAGGACCACAGCTGCAGAATAGCAGAGATTAGTTGAGTCTTGGGGTCAGAAAGCCTAAAAAAAAATAGTCAAACAGCACTTACATCACCAGACGTTGTTTGGGAGGGTTTCAAGAAAAAAAATCAAGATAACATCAGTCAGTCAAGCATTATAATATGATAATCAAGTATTATTTAATGATAGAACTTTAGTAATTAGAATTTAAACTTGATAACCATGTATGAATGCATATTAGTCATTTTAACTGAACTGACTGGTGGTGGTGCTTTTTGGTCAATCAGTGTTTCTGTAAAAAAAATTGGGGAAAAACTAACACAAATACTGATAAGATAATGATACGAATTCTACTAATAAGGATTTAAATTCAAAACGCACTAAGGCTTAATGAGCTGCTGAATTCATGAATATTAATCAGGTTGTGTGTGTTCGCTCGAACTGATTTGCTGAAATCAAAACAGGGATGATAATAGGTGAGCGCCAGCCAATGAGATTGCCGTTTGCGCATTAGTTCCGCCCACTACCGGAAAACCCGGCAGTTCTTAAAAGCTAAAGAATTCCAAAGGAGCGCTGTTATTTTGACAAGAAAATACAACAAAGAATATCGTTTACATGTAGCGCGTCAATTCTCTCTCTCTCTCTCTGCGTGTGTGTGAGACAAAGTGACGGTAAGGTGTGCGCCTTCACACTAGAATTTACGGTACATTAAATACAAGTGCGTTGCGCATCCATTGAGATGAACTGAAAAATAGCACAGATTGCTTGACGAAGAGAGAGACTCTGAAGCGCTCAGTCAGAGTGTTCGGCGAGTGAAAATATATCTGTGCTAATCATATACTCAGCCTCCAACTCACACACTGGCGACTAAAATCTGAGAATTGATTAGCCATTGGCTAATATTAGACATCATTTAGTCGCCAAAGTGAAGATTTAGTCACATATGCGAGTGATTTACTCGCAATGTAGAGGGTTGTCTAAGTGGACTGTCCCTTTAAAAACGGTGAAGTTGCAAATAAAGCAGATTATTAAAGTACATTTTACACAGAAATACTATTTCAGTCTTTCTGCATTAATTCAATGTGTTACTTGCCATTTCTTAGTAATTATTTGTGAAAAATGTAGCATTTTCTAAGAGAAAATTGTTTCGCCTCCAGTTTTTCTTTTCAGTTCCTTTTGTGTAAATTGGGTCTGTTACAAATGACCAGAAAACACACTCATAGAAGATAAATGCACCCTTTTTAGTGAAAGCAGACTGTTCAGCCGGCAGCTCATTGGTAGAAATGGGAAGATTGATCCTGAAATAACAATACTTCCAAAACTGATGTTATATTTAGACTATTGACCCTCACATGATGACACTTAGACTAATGTTTTATTAGTAATTTATCATGAAAATCATAAAAGCAGGTTGGGTATTGTTTATGGGACATTCATTATAACCTCAATTAATAAATTGTTAAATGATTAATTATGTTGATTTGTTGTTAATAAATGTTAAAAACAGAAGTATGATCACTATTTTTATTTGAAAGTCATCATTATTAAATGTAAAATTACATTAAATATAATATGAACTATACTATAACATTAAATCTGTTTTTATGGCAAAAATAGTAGGCTATATTTATGTTTAAATTGACTGCTTTATCTTATAATCTCCACCTTTCTTTTACTCAAAATCAACACACACAGTATGTACTGATGATGTCCCTCAAATGCATGTGTTTGACTGCTCACATTCCAGGACCCTCCACATCTTCCTGTACGCAGCTTTAGGTTTGTGGCATGCAGAGAAGCGAAGGCTTGTTTGTGTGTGTGTGTCGGTGTGTGAGGGAGGGAGCGGGGTGCTGTAATGCTAACCCACTGCACTGTCCCCCTGCATACCAGTGAGAGTTTAGAGTGTGTGAGCCAAAAACACACATTCAGACCAGCTGCATTCCACATGCACACACTGCAAAGGCATGTCCGGTTTAAAGCTCATATCAGCAGTTATCTGTCACCTCGTGTCATTTATTGTTTTTAGTGTCACATACTTGTTCTGTTAGTATGGCAGAGCTTTGAAGTACGGCGCTTCAAGCAGGCGAAATGTCTTGTCATTTATGTCTTTGATAGTGAGAATAATGACAGGAAATGAGCCACAAGACTCGAATGGTGGTAATATGAACCTTAGTCAGGCTTGACACCATTTGACACAAATGAAAATGAGTCTGTGAAGGATAGATGTACCATCAGGTTTCGGTAGGTCTTAGGCCACAGCTAATTTAAGACATGCTTTAAAAATTTTTTTTTTTTCCTTTTTTGAAACATGTATTTGAATTGTCTTGTATTCAGAAAATTATTATTTTTTTTTTTTTATTAGTATTTATTTTTATTTGTTTATTTATTTGGTGGGAGTTTTGGACTCCCTAGAACCCTGGAGGTTCCTGGACCCTATTTTTAGTAAATATTCACTCTTTCTATTAATTTCAGTTTATCACTTCCCACCTTTCAGTGTGTTCAGTATGTGGCCGCATGCTTCTTTTCATTTGCATCAAATTAAATGTGGCATGAACTCTGACTGAGGTCTACAAAGACCAAGAATTCTCTCTTCTGCTCCGTGGAAGGAGTTTGCAGAGGTTGCATGTGTGTTTCAGAAACACATCTGGCCTGTGAATTTCTGTCGTCCCGTCCAGCATTCCATCTGAGAGAGAGGCACAGAAAGGGAGACACCAAAAACAGACAGAAAGATGGAACAGACTCCTAGCCAATGACAGACGACCCACAGATGCCACTTGGCATTGCACTGTTTGAATTGGCCTCTAAGACGTGAAGGACCAAATCTCCCAGATCCCAGAATTCAAATTTATGGCATTTTATCTTGTTCATTTTTAGATAGAAATTACATATAGAGTGATGCAGGAATCATGATTTCATTATTATATACGTTTGCATTGCACAGCTGTCAAGAGGAAGGCAGGAATAAAGAGAGAGGAGGGTGAGAATGAGAAAAGGGGGGGGGAAATGCACAACGATGTCATAATCACAATCGCCAAGCCGGGCCGTTGCCATGGAGACAGAGACATGTGAGCAGGCCGATGGCATTCACAGTGAGGGTGCTCCGACCTGCTGTTCACTTCAAGCACTGAGATAGAGGGAGTATTTTTAGATAAGAGATGCAGCGATCTGCGGAAGGGAGGAGTGACCCAGAGAGGAGACGGAGGTGTGAGAGAGAAATAAAATGGTGATGTGGTACATTAAATCTAGCTGTGCTGGAAAATCCTGATGGTTGCTGATTTTACCTTGTTTCTAGGTGGTCTAGATGGCTGGGTTTCAAGCTGGAGCTGGTGACCTTGGACCAGCAAAAAATCAGCTATCATTTTTCAGAAATCACCTTGACCACCTTAAGCAGATTTGGGCCAGTTTTTCCAGCAGATGCAGATAATATCAAACGTAATTCATGTTATGAAATCTCAGAATTGTATTTGGTGTTTTAAGAAATTAAATGGATGATACTTTATTCGTCTTGTATTCATTTCCCTGTCATTCCAAAAATGGCAATAGAAGCACCATAAACAAAGTCAATATGACTCATCTGCTATATTCCATAGCTGCGTCCCAAATGACGCACTACTCTATGCACTTAAACACTATGTACATATGCACTATGTATTCAACCATGTAGTGTATGAATTATATAAGGTTATTTTTGTCATTCATAAATGGAGTCTGATAGCCCCTCCCCCTCCGCTACGTAATTAAAGCTGCGACAGTTGAGTGCATGAAGTGTCCAACATTGCACACTTCGTTTGTTTTGGTTAAAAGTGCACTTTTTCTGTTTGGTATTTTTAGTGTTAACACACTAACTCGCACTATTTATGCTAGGAAACGTCATAGAACAGTATGTGATTTGGGATGCTGCGCATGTCTTCTCAAGCCAAACAATAGCTTTGTGTGAGAAACAGACTCATATTGAACTCATATCAGTAGGCTGTTAACAGTGTTGGGAAGGTTACTTTGGAATTGTAATAGGTTACAGATTACAAGTTACCCTATTTAAAATGTAATAGTAGTGTAACTTTTTCAATTACTTTATTAAAGTAATGTAACTGATTACATTTGATTACTTTTTGATTACTTTTATAAATTTCGAATGAATGTTTATTTGCAACTGTTAATCATTTTCAAACATTTACACCATGCAGGATTAAGTTTACAGTAGTGCTCAACACTGTCAGACTT